AGAATAAGCACACAAAAATCATGACACCTAGGAAATGGAGAAGGGTTTTGCTTCAGACAATAGCCGCACCCTGTTTCAGCAGAATTGATCAACGGGTCAAAAGAAGGCATCAGTGAGACCATATGCGAAAAAGACGGAACAGCAATTCACTCCCAAGTAGAGAAATCAGACGAGCCCAAGCGAACAATTGCCTCTAAAATATCCGATGACATAGTTCGAGCAAAACTAAGGTTAGGTCTATTCCATAGTTTTCCCGGACATAGTCGTGGATTTCCATGGAGGACTTGAAACATCTCGACAAGCCGAACACCTCGCGCTTCTGCTGGGCATTTAGATGCCGGTTTGCAGTATATATATATTAAAAGCCCTAGAGTGAAAAGAAGAGAAAAGGAGTGGGTGAGGGAGGGGACCTAGTGATGGCGTCCTGAGGTGCCTACACCTCCAACCGCTCAATCAGACAATCTGGAAAGAAACTAACAGCACGAACATCATTGGCATCTATTAGCCGCCATTTCTTGCAACGTCTCCAGCCAACCACAGAGGGGGTCACGGAGATCTCATCCTGGAAGGTGTACAACACCCAAACTCTTCGTGATCTCTTCCACGCCTTTTTGCCAAGTCATGTGATGTCCAAGTCATGGTTCGCGCCATCCTGAAGGAAGCACAGAGAACAACAATCGTTTCGGTAGACGGTGTTTCGGCATGCGTAGCACATGACTGAACCATCGTAGTCGATGATGCTGGATGTTTTCTCGGATTGAACGGTCTGGCGCACAACGGTCGAAATCCCCCTTGGTTCTCACGAGTCAAAGCTTCGTGTTCCACCGTAAGACGACGAAGAGTCAGTGACGCCAGAAGACTTGTCACAACAGGCGTCAAGCTAACACCTCTGTGGTTGCTACATTCACTGCGAGTACGCTTTTTGAAAATGGGCACCACTATCGATTCACCCCAGTTGTCTGGGACGGTCTCCTTCTCCCAGATAGACCCAAATAGGTTAGACAGGCACTGACTGAGGAATCCACCGCCATCCTTGAAAATATCAGACAGAATGACGTCAGGACCAGCAGCACGATGACGCTTGAGTAGAGAAATACATTCGGACACTTCTGAGACTGAAAGCGGTTCCATATTCACGGTCCACCTTTCTGTTAAAGGCCAGGTTTCTGGATTGGATATAGCAAATAGCCAGCTGAATTGCTGCTGGAAGTACTGTGCCCAGTGGTCCAATCGTTCTGCTTTGCTGCATTTCAGGGAGCCAGTTTGGTCCCTAAATATTTCGCTGACAAGAGGTTTCGTAGGACCAGTCGAACGAATCAAGTAGAACAATTCTCGCACGTTCCTGTCATTCTTTGCATTTTCCATTCCTTCAACCTTCCGGGTCCACCAAGCTTCTCGGTCTGCGCTGACACTCAGTTTTCTCTTGGAGTCGGATGGTGTGTCGGGTGGAGTTGTGGTGGCGACCAGGTGGAATCTGTCGCTGAGTCTTCAGCAAAGACACGGTCCTATCAGAGATCCAATGCTTGGATGAGGTTGGCTTAGTTGCACCGCAAACAGACGTTCCGGCTTTGAGTGGCGCTTTGGATATTTTTCCCAGTGGCCGTCTATACGCGACACCGTACCGTCCGGCAGGCATTTGAGGAGCTGCTTATGTTAGTTTCGTTTGACTTCTGGGTGCACTAGCTTCTCTCCGCTGTTCCGGAAATTCGTACTGCAAAGGAACAGCCTGTGATCGGCACACATCTGGAATGAGCGGTCTCCGTTGTCCGTGCGTCTCGTATCCAAACCAAGACGACCACCCAATCGGGCCTCAGCAGCGCTCAGTCTACCTACCTGGCCGTTCATATCACCTGCAACCACAACTATATCTGACCTTTTAGCCTGCTGTAGAAGGGCCCCTAGAGCGTCATAGAAACTGTCCTTGGCAGATTCAGAACTACAGTCAGTTGGGGCGTATGCAGACATAATAAACAGGGTGCGATGAACCTCACTTTCTCTAGATTCTCTCACAGATGTTGCCAAACGAACCTCACAGAGGGTACTATCAAACAGGTATCCAAGCAAGCAGAGACGCTTCCCCTTGTTCGCTCAATACAATACCCACCCGAGCATGTCCAGCTGCAGCGGCCTCTGCATCACCGGAGGTGCGCAGCCGGAACCTAAAAGAGAGCGAGGGGCAGTCAGTTCGATCACTGTACTTGAGTCCTGCGTCCTTGTTTCTGACAGAACACATACATCAATGCAGAGAGAATCCAGCGTACGCGCAAGAGCCACCTGTTGACCTGCTTGCTTCAGTGTGCGAACAATGAAGGTGGCTAAGTAGACAGGCTTTCTGGGTTTGAAAACAGACTTCGAAGTGTTTAGGGTTGTAACTGAACTCGGACGTACAGAAACTGCAGCTGAGTATAATACAGGGTGAACAAAGTGGTCAGTCCTAGAGCTGGGACCTGTGTGGAAAGTATTCAAACTTGCGCGGGAGGGGGTGGAAGACGGAAAACATGAAATTGTAAGGTAGAAGGGGGCGTTAGCGGTAGCATGTTTTCGCTTACACGCCCTGCTGTATGCAGCAGGTAAGGCGACCCGGCTGATGGCACCACGCGACGGCCGATGTGGCATGAATTTATTTGTATATGTGCAGTTTATGGTTGTACGTGGCCTGGGATACTGACAGGGCGCCCACACATAGACAGGAGGACAATTAGGGTCCTCAGCCAAAACCTTTGACCCAAAAGCCTAACCGCAAGGCGGCGGTGTTGGGCTAGAAATGCAAGTACATTACGGTTTTTACAGAACACGTCTCCATACATGTTCCATCCTTTAACCTTGAGGGCCAGGTGGCTGTGTTCGTCAGACCTCTACTCATGGATCAACCTGGTAGGAGAGACTCTGAGTGCCGCGCGGACATAAACCCCCACACCAGTCTCTGTGACAGATAGACCAAGCGGGCCCGAATGGAACATTTACACCAACCCACCATCAGAAACCGAAATCCACCGTGAGATTTCAATCCTGAAGCGCGACAAGGCACCTGGCCCGGATGGTCTACACCCCGCGCTCTTCAAAGAAGTTGGCGAGGTCCTGGTGAACGGTCTGACAACCATACTGCAGAAGATTTGGAACGAAAACAATACCAGCCGAATGAAGCTCCTCGACCGTCATCCTAGTTTTCAAAAAAAGGAGCAAGAACGTCGTGTGAAAACGATCGTGGTATCGAGTACGCAGACGAAGTTGCTCTTCTTGGATCTGATGCCGTGGTAATGCAAACAATATTAACTAATCTAAATAATTCTGCCTCACAGTTTGGCATGCATTTCACTTGCAAAGCGTAAAGTGCTGCTGCAGAACTGGGTGGGCTCGAGCCCTAACCTAGTGCTTGCAGTCGAGCCGGTTGAGGTAGTAAGCAACTTTGTCTACCTGGACAGCTGTATCAGTCCCGATGCTCTATTGAAAGATGATATTTCCATCCAGATTGTGAAGGCCAGAGCAACTTTTCTGAACCTGTGGCGTAGGCGTGACATCAGCTTATCAGTCAAATGTCGAGTTTACAATGTTGCGCTGCGCTCCGTATTACTATATGGATCAGAAACCTGGCCGCCGCGCACCGAGGTCAAAAGCCTCAATGTTTGATCATCAATGTCTTCGGAGCATGTTCCGAGTCTGGTAAGAACACCGGATCGGTAATTCTGAGGTACGTCGAATGGTATATGGAAGAAATAACTCACCCACGATAGATGAACTCATCACACTCCATAGGTTGCGCTGGCTTGGCCACATGCCCCGTATGCCAGTCGGCCATGGGCTGTTTTCTCACAACCACACGAAAGGCGGAAAAGCGTTCAGCTGTAACATCCTTCCGGCGCCTAGCTGCCATGCCACCCGAAGGAATCACGAGGGCTGGGATATTGCCAGGTTGCCCAAGCCTAGACAGGGAAATCGAGAGGCAGAGGTTGGGTTCGAACCACGGACCTTCCGCTCAGTAAATTCGCGCTCTAACCACTTGAGCCATCTCGCCCCCGAAGGGCGAAATGAGATAGGGGAATTCAAACAATGACTAGGCAGCGAAGTATGAAAGCCATTACCAGGGAAATCAGCTGCGATACTTATTGTCGTCTCCCCGGATGGGGACCTCGAGACGGGCCACATAAATGGTTAGAGACATGGCCCAGTCGCGCCCTCAATCACAATCATTATTATTATCAGCTGTAAGAAACTGCGAGCTTGTAGTACAGTGGTTGTAGCGCCTTCAGTGGCGTTCGTGCATCCAACCTATTGCCTTCAATGCATAGCTCCCTTCCCAACACCAACTTAACAGTCCACTGACAGTCTTGTATTTACGCAGCAATTTACCAGCTCCCGCCTCCAGTGCGTAGCTACCTACCCCACCTCCTTAAAATCATCGGTGAACTAATCTGTGGCAGCCACAACCACTGTACGAGAAGTATGCGGTTAGCCGATAATGATTATGTTGACCAAAGGAGCCATCTCCCAACCTTCTTCACTCCGATATCATATTCTCTTCGTTTTTTTGTGGTATTGCCATTGATAACAACTTGACGATATCAAGCCCTTACTACTCAAGAAAGAAAGCGTTCAGCTGTAGCACCCTTCCGGTGCCTAGCTGCCATGCCACCCGAAGGAAGCACGAGGGCTGGGATATTGCCAGGTTGCCCAAGCCTAGACAGAGGAAGTCGAGTGGCGGAGGTTGGATTCGAACCACGGACCTTCTGGTCAGTAAATTCGCGCTCTAACCACTTGGGCCATCTCGCTCAAAGTCGATCTCATTCGCGTAGGATTGCCTATGTCTGTCTGAAAATCCTGAAGTTGTTCCGCCTAGATTTCCCAGTGTAAGTGTGCCCCCTTTAGGTTATGCTCTCCTTACCGGAATTCGATGACCGCACGTAAATGTGACTATGGTCGAAAGCATTTTTCAGATGAACCTATTCAATGGATACAATCGTTTCGGTCTGCTTTCACACCTACTACCTGTTCGTTTGGTAATTTCTTCGTACAACACCGCCCCCACTCTACATAGTGCGCTGGAGACTAGACGCTTCCTCTTCGAGTGCTCAGTCGATTCATCTACCTTTTTCTTCAGCTCGTCCAATGGATTATTATTCAAGCGGACCGCCTCCGAATATCGTAGAGCCACCCAAACTTGTCAGACAGATCCAACAGGTACCTATCATTTTCAGTTTAATTGAGCTTTCATGATAGACTCACCGGCAATTTTTGGACAGCGTAACACCTTACGTTTTGGCTCGTTGGATAGCCACAGGCACTTTATTTTTCCTATACATCTTACGAGTGTGTTTAGTCCAAGTAACTTTACCTATTTGCTCCCTACGGTTGAATGACTCCTTGCACAGGGTTACCATGTCGTCAGTTACGCCCTGGGTATTTTCCTGTTGAACCGACTAATCGGGTTTATCTCACCAAAAATTGACCCAGAGACCGACCCAAGTAACTTTGTTTTCTGTTTTTCAATGTTTGTTTTCTTTCAGCTGGGAACACAGTACTTCCGACCACCACTTCTGAAGACTTCAGACCTTTTATTCGACGGTTACCCGAACTAGTGTTTTGGTTTGTTCCAACAGCTGGAAAAAATGCCTTATCACCCGTTTGCTTTCAGGCATACCTGTACTGTTGCGATCGCTCTTTCGTTGTTCTGTACGGCATTCGAGTTTCTTGATGTGCCAGTATTTTGGCCTATATTAGTGCTGTACTTTCTACTTCTGTTCTATCTTACAATGAAGCGACAGATAATGGTAAGTTGGTGTGATATCAGTGTGGTTCCTCTTTGGTACTTACATCCACATCGTTTAGGGAGCCCTACTCCCGTGCTACTCTTCTGGATAGTTCAAAGCATTAGACCGAATTTTCGATCTTAATAAAGCTCGTTAGCAGTGCACATACTCAGTTTCATCGAGAAGCGCGAGACGAGTTTGTCGCCAAAACCTTTCCCGCGCATGCCTGACGCATCTGGATTGGCAGGTCTAAACAAGTGAACATGTTCAGGCTTGAACAATCAGTTTGTGGTCCGTAGACGGCGAGGCGGCCATTATATGGGTTCATTCGACAAGCGATCCATGGTTGTCTCCATGGTTGTCTGACTGAAAACCATCGCTTGCTAACCCTATTCATGCGTGCTTGGCTGCTATGTTTGTGATAGTCCTGTCGCCTTTGTGAGCTACCGTCCCACGGTAGATCGATAAGCTTTCTTTTGTGACTCCTATGTTCCGGGTATTCGAAGTTAGTGGCCATAACTAATGCACCATCGTTCAAAATGGGCTGTGTTACCCAGTTACCTAACGCCGCTCATAGCATCCAGCCTTCTCCGGAAGGAATTCACCTACTTGAGTCGCTTAAGTTCTTCTTGATAAGGTTTAAGCGAAAGTGGTGTGGACCGACCTTCGGTCACAATTTATTTGTCACGCATAATATTGATGTCATCTATTTACATATCGTTTTTCACTGCCCATGGGCTCCGCGGAAAATGCAAATTCTTCAGCTTCGACTCGATAGTCAAATGCAATGGATTTCATATGGTGATAGCTCAGGTTATGGTCGACGGTTGGACTGTTCGCTGATCGTGGCAATCCAGTGAGGGATCGAACCAATGTTCCCCCAGCGTTGTTCCATTATCATCTCTACCGGGCCGCTTGGACTTAATAAATTACAAATATGGCTTCAAATATAGTTTCACTTTTGCAACTGGTGCAGTGTGTAGAAAGTTAAATGCAGGATGATGGAAGTAATTTTTTGGCAGTGCATTTCACAATTAGTGAAGAATTTAGCTACTTTTTTTTCAAAAACGTGAGTACTTCTTACCCACCGTCTAACTCGTACGGTGTTCTTCATTGTGATTGTAACGTTGATCGCAGCCTGATCTATGCGTATTGCTTGTGTGAATATGTGGGTCGTTTTACCTTGCTTTCCATTCGTCCTCACTTTGCAGCACATGATAAAGTATCACTACTTACCGTTCACCTATGGCAAGCCACGTCATCATTCGTCGACTGCTGGACACAAATGAAACATTTTCGAACAACAGCATGACCGGTTGAAAGAACTGTTCAATTAAATTTTCCCGAGAACCTGTTGAGAATCTCTGTCTCCAACACCGAGCCCCCTCTCCCCCTCTTTCTCCAGCTCCTCAAAGTGCTTTATCTCAGTTATATGACCACCAGCGTACCTTGAATATCAATTTTCACTATTATCACCACCGGGTAATGTGGATGTTTCGTTGCACAACCGGCTGAGGTCTTGGTCTAACTGAATCAAGCTCCGCAGCCTCGAATACGAGACTTCTGTTTGTGTGATTCTCTCAAATGTGAATATCTTCGTGGTGTCATCCCGCGTTTCCCTGAACATACACAGCATGCGGAATCAGCCGTGTACCTATTTTGTTCAGCTTCTATCCGCCTGTCGTCTATTATCACGGTAATCACCGCTAGATGGTATTTGTTTGCTTTGTACACCATTACCGCCGGGCTAAACATTCATTTTATCTTATGTTTTTTTTTCAATAAATTTCTTAGTGTTCGTTTTGTTCTGGTGCAGAAGTAACCTAGCAGCCTTTGTTCTTCATACCACATAAATTGCATTACTTGTTTCATGCCCCAACCTTACACATGGCCCTAATAATGCGTGGAATTCTTTAATCATTTATATGCAGTTGTTTCCTCTTCCGCTTACTCCTCACTAATGCTACCTTGCTGTGCTCGCGTGCATCGATGATAACCTGAGACTCGAACTTTCAAAAGACCGTTGTGAGAACGAGTGAAATTCGCTTCCAAACTAGGTTTTCCTTGTCTTGCGGCACACTTCCCATCTCGCGAACATAGGACTATACACAGCTCTCTTATCGGTGAGAGGTTTCCTTTTCTACCACACAATAAAGGAATGGGTAATGAAGCTTTGATTTTGCACTATTTTTTTCAAATAGATTTTATGAGCGCGATGCAACAGTTTGATCCATCGGGCCCGAATGGATATACTAGTGCAATATAATAGACCTTTATGCTGGTTGTCGAACGCCTGGCATCTGGATCATTACGAACGCAAGCTTTGTGCCGCCTAGTTAAACTAAAACAAGTACCACTAAACCGGATCATTTATCACAGAGAATTATCTTAACGCAATAACAACTGCAGTTATTGACTTACCCTGCGCTGCTTCATCCTGTGCTCCAGTCTCCCAACTTACAATCCAAATGGTGGCTGTGGCATGTTCCAGTGATTGGTCAACTCCCCGCAAGAAGGGCCAGCTGATACGGCCATGTAATATGTCAGCAATGTCAACTCTTATAGCGTGATAACCAACCATAACTATTGGCTAAGGGTGTATGGCGACTCCGTTGTGGTTTATCTCCGTGGGAAGTTTCGATGGATCATAATTCTGCCTTGACTCAATTGTCTCGCTGGGGTACTTTTCCACGACCGGCTGCTCGCATTACCAACGTGTTTGTTCCTAAAGTAATCCAGACTCCTCCAAACGGTTTTCTGTTGCGTGGTCTATCGAACAGAAGGGAGCGTGATGCTCCTCGCACATTGGAATCCCTTCAGTTTTGATTTTTCGGATCCACAGGAAACCATTTTTTACTATTTCTGTTGGATCGTCTCCCAAATCATTAGCGAAACACACTCATTTTCGAGGAAATTTGGTTTTGCGAGAGACTTACCTGGAAGCCAGCTGATTCTGTCGTTTTTGATGTTTCTAGGCAATTGATCTATCATTTTTCGCCTGATCAGGCGGTATCCCAGCCCTCTTGCTTCCTTCGGGTGGCATGGCAGCTAGGCGCCGCAATGTTTCTACAGCTGAACAAGTTATTTTATTTATTAATCAGGCCTTGCTGTCGTAACGGAATTGAGATAACCAGACTGCCATGGAAATGTGAAAGACCAAGTTAAGCATGTGTATTCGTTCATCCCATCTATTGTTATGGCGGAGTATTTTTGGCGCTAATTTTATTATGTTTTAATTCTTCATTCTTGGATAGCAGTATCGTACCGACCGGTAAATTGTGATGTGGCCCGAAATCTGAATTACTTTATGAGCCTCAAAAATTTCGCCATTTTGCACTCGTTCTGAAAGATGGCCGAAAGTTGAAAAGCGAATATGGAGGCTTGTTTTTCGACATTTTAAGTTGGAAACGGTCCCTCGAAGGTATCACACAGTGTTGGATGTTCAACACAGCGAAACGTGCGAGACAGCCTTAAAATTGTTATTCTTGTTTATTGACCTTACTTTTGATTTTGACTGAAAGATATTTGCGAAATAAAACACCCAGTTGCAAACTAAGAAGGCATCAACGTGGGAGTCATACAAATCTCGTTTGTGATGCTGTCCAATCGAACAGATAGTGCAAAGGCTACCTTAAGATTCACACTGACGGACGTTCAGTTTACCAAAGCACTTTTCGTTGACACATTGCAGACTAAACGAAACAGTGCCGACGAGTGTCGACGTTCCGTTGTCGGTTTTACTGCGCGTCTAATCAGTTGTAATTCGCCTCCGAATAGATATATTTAGGGCAAAACATGTTTTCGACACTGACCATCATCATCAGAGACAGCAACATCAGTGTTGGCACTGATGCTTCACTGCCGTACAACCATAAGTTTCGCCTAGTTACATATAAATATATATAATTGTATTAAAAGCCCTACAGTGAAGAGAAGGGAAAAAGAGTGGGTGAGTTAGGGGACCTAGTGCTTGCTTATGTCAAGCATTCTGAGGTGCCTACACCTCCAACCGCTCAATCAGACAATCTGGAAAGAAACTGACAACACGAACGCCACTGACATCGATTAGCTGCCATTTATTACAACGTCTCCAGCCAACCACAGACGGGGTCACCGGGACCCCATCCTGGAAGGCGCACAACACTAACAACACCCAAACTCTTCGTGATCTCTTCCACCCATTTCTGCCAAGTCATGTGCTGTCCACCTCGCGGTTTGCGCCATCCTGAAGGAGGCACGGAGAACAACACTCGTCTCGGAAGACGGTGTTTCGGCATGCGTAGCACATGACCGAGCCATCGCAGTCGATGATGCTGGATGTTTTCCCGGATTGAGGTGCCTGCAGCACAACCAAATACCCGTTTTCTAATCGCCTCGTTGCTGATACGCTGACGCCATCCGAAACCAGCCACGCTTCTGAGGCATCGGTGGTCGAAAACCTGAAGACGCCTCACATCATCTACCCGAAGAGGCCATGTCTCGCACCCATACAACAACACAGCCCTTACTGTAGCCTGGTACACACGACCCTTAAGATCCAGTGAGATGCCTTTTTGACGCCACAAGTGACGCAAATTAGCAAACGTGATTCGAGCCTTTGAGATTCTTGCACTGACTTCATCAGACACACTTCCGTCAGAGCTAATACAACTACCGAGGTATGTAAATTGTTCCACAATCTCCAGTGGTTCTCCTTGAATTGTAAGGGATATGTTCGCAGATGGCACATTCTGAAGCAGGACTTTGCACTTTGAAGGTGCAAGGCGCATGCCAAAAGGTGGTATGATGGCGGTCAGTTTATTCAACAGAGATTGTGTTTCGCTGTGGTCTTCAAAGATGAGGGCGATGTCATCTGCATACTCCAGATCGACAAGGCTCAACAGCAGCAATTTGAACACCGAGGTTTTGAAGACCGTCCAGTGTTCACCTCATCATTTCGTCAATGATGAAGTTGAACAAGAATGGAGAGAGTGGACACTTTTTGTAGGGAAGCTTTTGGAGAGCTCACCCGCCCGGAAGTATGTGAATATAGAGATCGGACTATGTTTACAAACTTCTGGGACATACCGTGTTGAGCAAGCGTAGTTAACAGCACTGATCGATCGACAGAATCAATCAAGGAGTATCAGGATTGTGGGTCATCTGCACATGTGGCGTTGTTTTAACATCTGATTGAGAGTGAAGATGTGGTCAACGCAGCTTCTACCTGGTCGAAATCCCCCTTGGTTCTCACGAGTCAAAGCTTCGTGTTCCACCGTAAGACGACGAAGAGTCAGTGACGCCAGAAGACTTGTCACAACAGGCGTCAAGCTAACACCTCTGTGGTTGCTACATTCACTGCGAGTACGCTTTTTGAAAATGGGCACCACTATCGATTCACCCCAGTTGTCTGGGACGGTCTCCTTCTCCCAGATAGACCCAAATAGGTTAGACAGGCACTGACTGAGGAATCCACCGCCATCCTTGAAAATATCAGACAGAATGACGTCAGGACCAGCAGCACGATGACGCTTGAGTAGAGAAATACATTCGGACACTTCTGAGACTGAAAGCGGTTCCATATTCACGGTCCACCTTTCTGTTAAAGGCCAGGTTTCTGGATTGGATATAGCAAATAGCCAGCTGAATTGCTGCTGGAAGTACTGTGCCCAGTGGTCCAATCGTTCTGCTTTGCTGCATTTCAGGGAGCCAGTTTGGTCCCTAAATATTTCGCTGACAAGAGGTTTCGTAGGACCAGTCGAACGAATCAAGTAGAACAATTCTCGCACGTTCCTGTCATTCTTTGCATTTTCCATTCCTTCAACCTTCCGGGTCCACCAAGCTTCTCGGTCTGCGCTGACACTCAGTTTTCTCTTGGAGTCGGATGGTGTGTCGGGTGGAGTTGTGGTGGCGACCAGGTGGAATCTGTCGCTGAGTCTTCAGCAAAGACACGGTCCTATCAGAGATCCAATGCTTGGATGAGGTTGGCTTAGTTGCACCGCAAACAGACGTTCCGGCTTTGAGTGGCGCTTTGGATATTTTTCCCAGTGGCCGTCTATACGCGACACCGTACCGTCCGGCAGGCATTTGAGGAGCTGCTTATGTTAGTTTCGCTTGACTTCTGGGTGCACTAGCTTCTCCATGGCCGTGCGAGGTGTGCTGTTTTGCGTACACCTGAAAAGCAGCAGGGTGCGAGTGCATGGTCGGAGTCCACGCTGGTGTTCCAGAAGGAGTAGCAGGCGGTGATTGATCCTCGCCACCGATAACTGACGGCGATATGGTCTATTTGGATTCGGTGCTGGTTAGTTGATGGGCACCACATTGTCAAGCGACTTCCGCTGTTCCGGAAATTCGTACTGCAAAGGAACAGCCTGTGATCGGCACACATCTGGAATGAGCGGTCTCCATTGTCCGTGCGTCTCGTATCCAAACCAAGACGACCACCCAATCGGGCCTCAGCAGCGCTTAGTCTACCTACCTGACCGTTCATCTCACCTGCAACCACAACTATATGTGAGCTTTTAGCTTGCTGTAGAAGAGCACCTAGAGCGTCATAGAAACTGTCCTTGGCAGATTCAGAGCCAGTCCGTTGGGGCGAATGCAGACAATAAACAGGGTGCGATGAACCTCACTTTCTCTAGATTCTCTCACAGATGTTGCCAAACGAACCTCACAGAGGGTACTATCAAACAGGTATCCAAGCAAGCAGAGACGCTTCCCCTTGTTCGCTCAATACAATACCCACCCGAGCATGTCCAGCTGCAGCGGCCTCTGCATCACCAGAGATGCGCAGTCGGAACCTGGAAGAGAGCGAGGGGGCAGTCAGTTCGATCACAGTACCTGCGTCCCTGCTTCTGACAAGCAATATACATCAATACAGAGGGAATCCAGCGTACGCGCAAGAGCCACCTGTTCACCTGCTAACTTCAGTGTGCGAACAATGAAGGTGGCTAAGTAGACAGGCTTTCTGGGTTTGAAAACAGACTTCGAAGTGTTTAGGGTTGTAAGTGAACTCGGACGTGCAGAAGCTGCAGCTGAGTGTGATGCAGGGCGAGCAAAACGGTCAGTCCTAGAGCTGGGACCTGCGGATAAAGTATTCAAA